GACAAGTTCTCGGTTGCCAATCGTAGGGGACGCTTGGTGCGCTCCAGGTAAAGTTCATAGAGAAATGACAACGTACCAAGGCATGATCAGAGTCGACACAGGTAATCCAGTACGAGCGGCAATCCAGAATGGAACCACGCCACCTGTAACTTATGGCAATGTGATCAATTTGGGTCTATCGCTGGTCAGCTACAGGAGGACGCCAAGTGGCACTTCGGCGCCCACTGTGTCTAAAAGAGTGATACTAAGAAACAACTGGTGCCAGTTGCAGCAGACGCTCACCGTTGTCAGTCCGTTCGGATTTAAGCCCACATTTACCACCTAGCTGAGTTTCTGAAGAGCTCAGACGCCCTACTTGTGCGTTCATATCCCTGCAAGTACTATAGTATCTGAACTAGTAGCACTGCGTAGTAGTACGTTCAGTTCGTCATAGAAAGTGTCCTTAACAGCATTTGAACTGCAGTCGGTGGGAGCATAAGCGGAAATCACGAACAAACAGCGTTTTGTATTACTTCGTGAATCAACCTTAGCTAATGTCGTCAAACGGGCTGCAGATGAACGGCTGTTCACCGGAATCCAACCAACCGACGATGGCTCAGCCTTGGAACTTAGAATGATACCTACAGCAGATTGACCCGTGAGTGCCGCATCAGCATCTCCAAATGCGTGCAACCAATAACGAGAGGATAAGCCGGGTGCAGTCAATTCAATAACCCAGTTAGGGTCATTAATCCTAGTTTCGGACACACAACACACATCAATACCCAGTGTGTCCAAGGTGCGTCCGAGTGCAGCCTGCTGACCTGTTGGTCTTAGAGTGCGAATGTTGAATGTCGCCATGGAAACGCGATAGCGTGACCTTATAAGGGACGTTTGCCGATGGGTGCTGTGGGATGGTGGATGCAGATGATTCTACTCCAGTGGCACTTCACTTTCTGTAAATTAAGCTGGGAATTATAGAAGGAAGGTTAGTAATGGGGGCCGGGATGGGAGTAAGAGAAAAAGGTGGAAAAGAAAGAGGGGAGGCGTCAGCAGTAGCATGCTTTCGCTTATCCGCCCTGCTGTATGCAGCAGATAAGGCGACCCTTGATAATCTGCGCGACGGCCGATGCAGGATGAAGTTTATGTTTGAAGAAAATAGCATGGTTGTATGTGGGTTGAGATACTGCCCAGACTTAGACTGGAGGACGATTAGGATCCTCATCCAAAGCCTTTGGCTCAAAAGCCTGTCCGCAAGACAGCGGGGAGGTGGCAATGATTTAGTTTTACAGAAATGGACGCCATCCCATTTCAAACCCCCAACCTGGAGGACCAGGAGACTGAGTTTGTCTGACCTCTCACCATTGACTAACCTGGTAGGAGTAGCTCTCAAGGTGCCCGGAGGCATCACCAAGTATAGCTCAATGGGTCAACGAGGTACGCAAATCGTCGCACCACGTCAAGGTCCAGTTTCGTTGCGACGGCACCTCCGGTAAGTGTATGGGCTGTTCACCTGTGGCTTTTAGAACTGCTGTGTATGTGTGCCGCCTACATAGATGATACGACATGATTGCGCAGCCTTCACGAAACCTTTGCCCCGCCTATATTATCCGTTGCGCCTCCGTTAAGTATATTGGCGCTAAATAATTGGCTTTTAGAGCTGATGTCTATCCGTGCTGCCCATATGGGTTATCCGCCACCATTGTTCAACCTCCACAAGATCTTTGCCGCCGCATAAATACTCCGTAGCACCCCCGGTAAGTGTCTCGGCTGTTCACGTGGCTTTTTGAACTGCTGTGTATGCGTGCCACCTATATGGGTGTTGCAACACCGTTGCTCAGCCTCCACGAAACCTTCTTACAGAACCCATGCCTATTTGTGGTGCCCACTTCAGTGGTCAGCCACTACTGGTCCGCCTCCACGTAACATGGGACACAGCATACCTACTTCGTCGAACTTTCGGTTTGTGTATTATGCGTGCATATGTGACTTTTAGAACGCGCGCATATTCCCTTCGAATGCATGCTTGCCCTGACCGTCACGTCGCTTGCAGACTGATGCGGAATGCCATGCGTCTAAACACCACCGCGTATTTTACACATCACATGTTTGCTTGTAACATACCTTTTAAAAAATATTACATGTTTGTACTTCCTAAGGAGTTCTTTTTCCCATGTCCGGTTTACACTGATCTTGACCTGTCACGGTGGCCTCTTATGAGGCTGGCGAAACCATTTCTCAGTGTTCTCCCATGCTGGGTTCCGAGCTGTATACACGCTCACTCAACTAGTGGTGAACATTTCTGAATGGTTCAGACATCCGTCACCTTTATTGCATCCGGTTTACCAATGTAGTAGTAGTAGTAGTAATCTCAACAGTCTAGTAACTAGACATAGAGCCAATAAAAACCATGGAAATCAGTGGATAGGAGAGTCATTGCGTTATAATCTGCATTCGATAACGGTTGCTTAAGGAGGATCGCTCGCGTTTGGTGGCAACACCGAGTTAATAGTAATGACGTTCGACGTCGCATCTTGGGGAATGCAAGTATTTCCTTCAATAAACTGGTTTTGTTGCGCCAGTTAAGATGGCTCGGTCATGTCCTACGCATGGCACCTGAGCGCCTACCGCGTCGCGCTCTATTCGCTCGTCAAGGACCTGGCTGAAAGCGACTGCGTGGTGGTCAGCCTTCCACTTGGCGGCAGCACATGAAGTCGCTGACGTCGTGTCTAGCCGCTGTTGGATCCGTACGTCTTCCAGGATGGGGACCCAAAGATGAGGAGTGCCAATGGCTTAGAACTCTTGAAGACATGGCCCGCAACCGGAATCAGTGGAAGAATTGTGTACAGTGTTGTATTGGTTCACATGTTTAATACTACCAACATTGAAAATGACAAAAAAGAGAAAAATGGGCGCGTGAAAAACAAACTAAAAGTTTTGTTCTATTTTTGTCACAATGTCCCATGCTTCTTGCAGCATATTAGCTGAAGTGTGTTGCCCACCTACAACTAGCATGCCACGATGATTATAACGCAATTTACCAATGCCCGGAACCGTTTACATCCACCGTTCCTTATCCGCTGAAACCTTATCATGTATCAGCGGCACTGCGCCCCTTTCCACATACTGCCACCTGCAAGTGATGCATCATTGATTCATAGCCACAGGTACCATTGGCTTGCCATGATCACTTCTCTTTCAGAGCCCAAGTGATATGCGCCTCCGTTTGCCCTAGTACTTAACTCAGCCACTGCGCCTAGTCTCACTTACTGCCACCCACATGGGATGCAACGTTGATTCATAGGCACAGGTACCATTGGATTCTCATGGTCACTCCGCTTTCAGAGTCACAGTGATATGCGCCGCCCTTCGTCATCCTACACACCGCTGCGGCTGCGTCTCCTCATACGTACAGCCTTCGTAATACGACGCATCTCTGAAGCCTAGTTACAGGTACCCTTTCACTTCAATAATGACAGCCTTTTCACAGCCAACATAACATGCGCCGCCTTCAAAGTGAACCCTGCCACTGTCTATTTTTCTACGTATTCGCCCCACTTGAGCCTTCATCATTGATACACGTACAAAGGTAAGGCTTCAGTTTAATGGCAACGTCCCGTTCATAGCCAAACTACATATGCGCCGCCCACAACGTCTAGCTTATGGCTGCCTCTGGCCCTCCTCCCGCATACGGGTACCTCTATATCAGGCTTTAGAGAATGCGAGCCAAAGGTACCATCAAACTTCAATAATGACCTTTTCAGAGACATAGTACACATGGGCCGCAATCCCCCGTCCTCATTACTGCCTTTGGGCACCCTGTGACGTGCGTGCATTAGTCGTCTCCTGTCATAGCACCAGATCCGGTCTTCCTTCACTTTCCACTTTTGTCTACATTTTACATCCCTTAGAGAACCGAGCAACGGCTTTTCTCAGGGCCCCCCTGTCACTGTGCGTTGTCGTCGCACGTCGCATAGGCAACATGCAAAGTCCGCATATTCCTAGCGGTGGACTACAAGCTCACAAGGTTCAGCAGGTGGTTCCGTAATCTTCAGACAATATATGGGCCAATTCCTACATCGACGTGTGACGAAACACTGCAAGCAATGCGAACAACATGCTCACCCATTAAGAACGTAGTAAGTTCACCTTATGCAGCTATGTTCAAAGACGAACATGCCGCTGTAGCTCTACATTCCTCGTAAACATTGTTTCCCTATTTCAATGAGCCTTTGGCATGTTTACCTCGTAGCGCCCTCAATTCTTCCTGTAATAATACTTGATGAACCATTTTTCAGTATTCTCGCTTGCTGGGTGATGAGCATTCGCGACGCTCCTCACAAAGACGAGAATATTTGCATAAGATTTGAGCGTCCCTCTGCCCACCTGATACAATCATACCCCACCTTACACGCACGGCGTATATCAGTACAACGTCGTCATGTGCATCGGTTCCTCTTTCCACTGCCAATCCGCTGCTCCAAATATTAACTTCTTACTCAGTACGTCTTGTTAGTCGACCCAGCAGCGGGTTAATTTAGTTCCAGTTCAAGCGGGACTGGAACGATAGGATAGATCCCGTAAGTGTTCCTTCTTCGGCGGGTCGTTGAACCAGGAGTTGGCGAACTTTGAAATACTGATGGACCTAAAACAAAGACCGCATCACACCCTGTCCAACCAATTAATGCCCATGTATCCTACCCTAGCAGTCTCCGCTGGGTCGGTTACGTGAAGTAAGAAAAAAAGTAGACTCAGAAGGCAAAAGAGAAAGTGGAAAGAGCTAAGCAAGTAAAATACCAAGATATTTGAGTCACTAAAAAAGAACTGAAAAGTAATGTTGAGTCCGTTAGGAAAAAGGAAAAGTTTGCTCTTGCCACCCAAGAGCATCGAGCTGGCGCGCAAAACCCTTAACCGTAGGTTCCCTAACCACGTGATCTGGAAGCGAATTCCAACGATCTATAACTCGGCGCGATAGACGAGTTTCCGTCCTAATCGTATCAGACCGTGGTTTATGCAGTTTCGGTGGGTGACCGCGGAGACTAGGTAACGTAGCGGGACTAAATAGCCCTGACAAGTCCGGGCCAATCTTACCCGACAAAATACGATAAGTGAGAATCAGGTCCTCTCTTATCCTTCGGTAGTGCATGGAGTACATCGCCAAACTGAGCAAGCATTCAGGATACGTCTGTCCCCGTAGACCCTGCACTAACCGAGTGCCCACTCGTAACACCCTCTCCAAGTCCATTTTGTCTCGGTTAAGACATGGTGGACAAGCCTGAATACAATATTCCAGGTGGGGTCGGACGAATGTCGAAAATAGCTTCACAAACAAACTGGCCGTTAAGATTCCGAAAGAGCGGCGGATAAACCACATCATGCGAAACCCTCGACAAGCAGCCTTCTTCCAGTTGTCTCCAGAATGAAGTACTGATGCGTGTACGACTCCTAAATCAACCTGCTGAGTGACAACAGGGAGTTCACCACCGCCGACAACATATCGGGTGGGAGAATTAGCAGTTCCGATTCGGAGAACAGAGCACTTGGCCCTATTTATGGGCATCAACCATAAGGTAGACCATTCCCAGAGTCTATCCAAGGCACGCTGAATTGCCTCAGGATCCCCGGGATATCCACAATATTCCAGAGCTTAAGATCGTCAGCATCATCATCATCATTATACATGTCAGCTAGAGGTGGTGAAACACCTCCGCTATTGTACCGCAATACATAAAGGAAATACATACATACAATACATAAAGGAAAAATAAATACGACAGTTGGATGCCAGCTGAGCTACCAGCAACGGATAGGCATCGTTCCGGTAAGCTTCCAGCTAGCTACTAGGCAAAAAGAAAAAAAATATTGTTTTACCCTACGAAATGAGATTGTAGATGGAGGGGGGAGGCTGAAAGTGATGGGGAGGGACAAAGAAACTCACAACAGGAACGCCACTGAGGTCGGCTCCTTGCCATGTCAGCAAGTGTATCCAGCCAAACGTGTTCACCGTCTTTTGGACCTCAACCAGGGAGTCGTGAAGCTCCAACCGAGGCTAGCTCCGAAGTGAGGGACTTCATTCCCCTGGACGAAGTCATTGCTTGGCCACCTCTCCTCTTCTTCCACCCACATCTCCGGTGAGCAAACAACGCACGTCGAGGGAGTCGGTGGGCTGGCATGCGCAACACGTGGCCCAGCCATCGGAGCCTGGTGCGAGAAATGACGGTGCTGAGCGGTTCATTCCCTTTTCCTAGGCCGTAAACAAGGCGTCGAACACGCTCGTTACTCACGCGGTGTTCCCACCAGATGTGAGCCAAACTGCGAAGACGCCGATGGTCGAACGTAACTAGCCTCTTTATGTCCGCCGATCTAAGGGGCCAAGTTTCGCAACCGTACAGTAAGGTCGAACGTCCCGCTGCATTGCACACTCTACCCTTCAGGGCGAGAGTAATGTCACGCCGCCGCCATAGGTGGCGAAGGTTAGCAAAAGCGCCCCGAGCTTTCGCTATATGGTTCGTGATCTCGTCTTCGATTAAAAGGGTGCTGATACAACTTCCCAGGTAATTGAATTTCCGAACGACTTCTAGCTGATCCCCACCAAGGGTCAGCACAGGGGGCGATCCCTGCCAATGTTGGAGGAACGCTTTGCACTTCGGTGGTGCAAAGCAAAGCCCGAAGCGACGGACAGCCAGTGCTAATCTGTCCAGCGCGGCTTGGCACGTCTGGGAGTTGGCACAGATGAGGGCAATGTCGTCTGTATACTCCAAGTCAAGAAGTCGTTCTCCTGGGAGTAGCTCCACACCTTCCAAGTCATGTCCTGTAAATGCAATCTCCATGACTTCGTCAATAGCGAAGTTGAATAGGAAAGGTGACAGCGGGCATCCTTGTCTCACACCGCTGGAGATATTGAAGGGTGGCGACAGCTTGCCGCAAGCCCTCACTCTGCCCGTGCTACGCGCATATAGTGCTCGGATAATATTCACATATTTCTCGGGCACCCCTTTCCTGAGTAGACAATTCCAAAGGGCACATCGATCAACCGAATCGAAGGCACTTTTGATGTTGAGGAACACGACTACGGTGGGCCGCCAATATGTGTGACGGTGCTCCAACAACTGACGCAAAGTGAAGATGTGGTCGATGCAGCCACGACCTCGACGAAACCCGGCTTGCTCCTCACGAATTTGGCTTTCACGAGCGCCAGTCAGTCTGTGAAGAATTATGGAGGCGATGGAGATCAAACTGATTCCTCTATGGTTGTCGCATTCCGAGCGCGAGCCGCCTTTGAAGATGGGAACAATAACGGAGCGGCCCCAGTCGGTTGGGACAGTCTTCTGCTCCCACAGTTTCACTAGTAATTCATGCAAAGCATCAACAAGAGCAGAGCCTCCGAATTTGAAGAGGGCTGGAGGAAGATCATCTAGTCCCGCGGCTTTGTTCAACTTCAACAGTGCGATCTCACGTTCGACTTCTGAACAAGAGGGTGGATCCAAAGGGACAGCCCACGGAGCAGGGCGATCAGTGACCGGCGAATCGAACAATTCTAGCCGATTAAATTGCTTTTCAAAATGCTCAGCCCAACGCTCCAAACGTTTTGACAAATTGTGGATAGGCTGTCCATTCTCATCACAAATTGTTTCACTAACACCAGGTCTCCTGCTGCGCGTTTCCCGTATCAGACGGAATAACTTACGATGGTTGCCAAGAGCAGCGGTCACTTCCATCTCTGACGAACGGACAGACCACCAAGATTGGTGGTCTCTCTTCAGGCTAGCACGGAGTTTTGCCCGGAACTCTTTGCGAGTTTCATTGTGTTCACTTCCCGCCGGGATATGCCGGCGAGCGTCGATAAGTTCCAGAGACCGAGAAGAGATTCAATGTCCATGTTGGCTATTAGACACACCACATGAGGATTTGCCTGCTGCTAGTAAGGTCTGTTGGACATGTGACCAGTGACCACCAATTATCTCCAGTGAGCGATTACTCAACTCGCATGTCAGCGTACTTCGATACGCATTCAGAACAGCTGGCTTTGTCAGTTGGCTGGTGTCAATGCGCTCACATGGTCGTCGTGGGCGTCCGCCAAAACGCATCCGCATGTCAGCACATACAAGTGCATGATCGGTGTCCACACATGTGCTCCAAATCGAGCGACAATTCTGGATGCAGCCTCTCCAGCGGTAATTGATGGCAATGTGATCGATCTGCGTCCAAGACTGGTTCGAGGCTGGTGGGCGCCAAGTCACCCTCCGGCGGGTGCTGTGTCGGAAATTAGTGCTCGCAAGAAATAAGCGAGCATCTTCACACAAATGAAGTAATCACTCTCCCGGCAAGTCATTTACATAGATCGCGAACAACAATGGCCCCAATACCGAGCCCTGCGGAACGCCACTAAGGACAGTTTGTCTGAGGGAAAGGCTACGCCCCACCCGTACGCTCTGTTCCCTCCCCTCAAGAAAGGCAGACACCCATTGAAGGGCGCGACCAGATATCCCGTAAGATCTCAACTTTAGTGAGAGCCGAAGATGTGGAACAGTGACCAAAGCTTTCGAAAAATCTACGAATAGCACGTCTACAGCGTGGCCACTGTCTACCGCTTCGGCCCAGCTTTCACGAGCTACAAGTAGATTAGTCTGACATGAAAATCCTTTGCGGAATCCATGTTGCGCAACATTGAGAAGGTTGAATCTATTCAGGTGGTTCTCCACTGAATCCCTTATCAGCTTCTCGAACAACTT